CAGCTGTCCAGTACTCCATGGTTTTCAATGGTTCTCTAACTGATATCAGTCCGTGATCAACTCGTAAAAAACATAACAAACCCTTAAAAACCAAACTTTAGAAAATTAGTTCCCTTTATGAATTTAGATAAAGCAATAAGAAGACATAATTTGTCTGAATCGTGTAATCTTGTATTTGCGCAACACATTTCGAACAATCTGATCACACACGGAGAAAAAAGACTTAGGTCAAGTTAAATAGACATATTGAAGGTCAAAATAACAATGAAGATCACTAAACCAAATAACAGAGGTAATAGTACATCTGCTATGGTATCAAAACAAAATTTACGAAGGAAAGTTCAATGTGATGACGAATTGTTTTGGATGCATAAAGGTGGTTTAAACTTTCTGATTGGCAGCTACGGCTTCCACATTCTTTAGGTTTAAAAGATCTGTTAACGTCAATTTTATGCTCTGTCTCTATAATATGTTTCGCAATAGAAGAGTTAGGTCTCCTGTTCTCACCATTAATGGGTTCTGAAGATTCCATTTATTTTTGGAACCATTTAGGAATATGTTCTGAAGCCCTTACTTGCAGAGACCGATGAGTCCTCCCTATGTATGGGTGTCCACACGTACATTCAAACTGGTAAATATTGTGGGATGTGACATCATTTTTTGCATGTTCGAAGGGCTTAGATAGATGGATATATCAGCTTTACATTCTCTATTATTATGATATTAGCTGCATAAAAAGTCTTTTTAACAGCAGTGTTCAGATTTTGTCTAGTTATCAAGCTGCTATGATGTCCCATATAGGGTAGGTTGATGAAGACGTCTTTCTTAGGGGCGAGTTGCAGAGCGGGTCTTGAATATGTCCTTTTAACTTGACCTAAGTAGTCTATTTTCTCACCTCTCAACTCTTTATTAATTTCATATATATGTACTCCTATGACAAGTCCGTGTGTGATCAGATTGTTCGAAATGTGTTGCGCAAATACAACATTACACGATTCAAACAAATTACGTCTTCTTTTTGCTTTATGTTATTATTGTTAACCACGATAGGTGTAAAGCGATTGTTAAGAAACTACGAAATGACGATTTCATCTCGCGAAATTTGTCTTCTAAATGCCTTATTCAAAAGAGGTAGGTAGTTTGAACTAGTCGGTAGGATGCTGTACTGGCTCCCACCTTGGAGAGAAATCGATATTCTATGAGATATTTAGCTAAATATGACTAAGAAAACTTAATCATATAATAACAGGTATTTCTTGATAAAGAATACAGATTTCGTACATGAAATTCAGAGATTGTAATGTACACAGTTCAAGGGGTAGAATTTCCACTATGGTTTCCTTCAGAAATCAAATTATTCAGAGCTCAATCAATATTTTATAGTTGTTTTCTTGGCAGATAGTGTCAAGCAGATCCCAAAGGGTGATCTGAATAATTTTGCTTTCCACAAGAAAGTTTAGTGAAAATTTCTCCCCTTCGAATTGTGTACTTTGCAAATTGCTGACTAATTTGAAAATTGCGAATTTCATTTAGGGTAGAACCAGCTCAACGAAGTAGCCAGTCAGAAATCGGGTGTGGTTTCAATTAATTCGGTTCTCTGAGTTGATTTGTCAAACCGGGTAGTGCACCATTGATAAGGCCGTCCCCAAACGAGCGAAATGCCCCCTCATGTTGTTTAGATCACCTCGACCTGGTTAACCAGCAAGCACTGCTAGCTGATATGAGTGGTTTACACCTACTACTCATCTAAAACAGTTAGTAGTATACAGTTTTAGGGGGAAAATGCAGATTTCACTTTCTGCGAAATTGATAGTTTGCTTAAGACTTCATACATGCTGTCAGTGCTGGTGAATATTGTTCGAACTGGTCTCCATATTGGTGGGAGACAACAAGGTTGTCATTGCTTAATCGTGTACCAGTTGGCAGAGGATTGGAGAAATAGGATGAGAAGTATTACTCCATTATGGATGAAATTTTTATCTTGATAAAGTCACACAGTGTTCGTTGTACAGTAATATTAACTGATGACCACGTTTCGAGCACAATTTATTACCACTCATAACCGCATCAAGTTACTCACACAACTTTTTGCTTCATTTATATACATGAGTGAAATTGATGATTAGACATTTGAATAAAATCAACAACATAAGATAATGTACATTCAGAAATAATAATATGAGTGTTATTGATCAATTACAATCAGATGGGAAATAAGACGGGTGTTTTTATAGTCAAAATAATTAACTTGTTAGAATGTTGTGATGTGCTTGAATTGAAATAGAATTTTGAGATTATTTATTATCCTCTTCTGATTTGACTGACTGGTGGCAATATTATCTTCCATGCATATCTCTGATACTTGCATTGAGTCATTTCTGTTGCATGTGTTGGGTGTAGACTCAGTGAACCAGGATTCAGTAATCGATCTCTCTCCTTCTCTCCACCCACCTATATTACCCTTTTTAGAATTTTTACTCTGTATCACCCTACTGTGTGGTTGTGTGTTGAAGCATGCAGTGCTTAAGCTGAGTTTATTCCTCTGAATTAATTATTTTCGTGGGATCAATCATCCTAACCTTAGCTAAATTCTTATGTTCTGATAATCTCACTACTCCTGATCTACTAGTTTGACCTATGTAGTTGACCTCACTCACAGTCATTGCAGGGTATTTTGTAAATTATATTATTTTGTTTAATTGGGTCCACCGGTTCCTTCAGCCTTCAGGGCTTGTCCTAACTGAGTGAGTTTGTAGGCTTGAATGCCACCCTAATTCCTGCTTTATTCAGAATCCTACTTAGGTAGGGTCTCAGATGTCCCCTCCTTATATGCTAAAACTACTGTAGATGCCTCATATTCTTTCTTATTTATGTTATTGTTATCATTATTAGTTTCCTTATTATTTTTATTTTGCTTTGATATTCCTAGTGAATTTTATAGGATAGTTAGTTATTTAACACCAACCAGCTATTCTTCTATCTGTTTCATTTATTTACAGACTTTATTGATAGGAACTTTTAATTCTGTTTTTTTATCGTGTTGGTTACTGTGCATATTATTCTGCATATTAGGCTTATTCTTCTGAAACTAGCAATAGGTCCAGGATGTCTGAGATCTGGATATTTGACACATGCCTTACTATGAAACAAGTTCAAATGAGTCTTAAGTATGTGTTGAACCATCTAGTCAAAGACAGCAACACAGGACGTACAGCCGATCAGAGGAAAGATGAAAGACATATAATAACGACTAATACAGTTGCGAAAGAACCTTTGAAACAAACAACAGTTTTCAAGTGTTGGTTTGTAGGCATTTGATTGGTTACAGGATTTCATCATGAGCTGACATTGGTTAGAGAACCATTGGAAAACCTGGGAGTATTTGACAGCTGTTTCATCCCAGTTTAGCACTCTTCAGCAGGGGTTCGAACCCAGGACCTTCTGGTTACAAGGCGAGCTCGTACTCCCAGGTTTTCCAATGGTTCTCTAACTAATGTCAGCTCATGATGAAATCCTGTAAATGACAGTTTCTTCCACTCCTACTAATTTGAGTCAAAAAAAGGAAGTTAACATTGTCCTTAATCAGATTAGTTTTTTCTTTTTTATCTCAGACCGATAATAAAGTTAATTTTAGATGCATAATCGATAAACAAGTCTATAATCATTTATGAAAACAAATTTTTTTTTAAAAGTTACCATGCTATATTGATCCCATTTTTTTTTCAACAAAAAAAGCTTATATATGTCCAAACCAAGTTCACTTTAAACAGTTTGAAAAAATTTGGGCATTGGGTATATGATATTCATTATAATAAAGGTTTTCTTGTATTTCCCAATGAATGAAAAACAAAACGATATTGTTGTTTTTACCGACGTTTCGCTATTTAATGCTAATAGCTTTATCAAAATATTATTAAACCGGAATTTACAAAATCCACTCAGCATATATATAACAAAGAGTTAAGGGGTGAGAAAATAGACTAATTAGGTCAAGTTAAAAGGACATATTGAAAGTTAAAATAACAATGAATATCAGAAGAGTACTCAGTCAGCTCGACATTAGAGTTTTCTTCAAAACATCAGACACACTACGAAACAACCTTGTCCATATAAAAGACCAAATCCCTAAAGATTCTCTATCTAATTGTGTCTATAAAATAAAATGCTTGGAATGTGATGCAATATACATCGGATAAACATCTCGAGAAATCAAAATCAGAAGAAATGAACACCGTAGAGCATCTGTTCGACCACCGAGAAATCCAGTTGAACTAGAAAAGCTTGAAAAATCATCAGCCATAGGTGTCTACACACTATAGAATCAGGCCACAAAATTGATTTTGACAATATTGAAATAATCCAGAAAAAATTCATAAATCACAAAGAACGTCTAACATCATCAGAAGCACTTCATATCAAGTGGAATCCAAATTGTCTGAACTGAATAGGAATGATGGACTAAAACAGAATCTGACCTGGTTACAACACCCCACCCCTCCCCCATGAAGTGACAAAATCAACACGAATGTGATATGCAAGTTCACTATGTAAACACACACTGCTTTTATAATTTTACACACTGATCAAATCCAACAATCTACACTTGATTTTGTTATCTTTACCAAATGACCAACTTGACAACGAAAAATGACTCCAGACTAACGAACGATGATCAAGTTAGTAAACTTTGTTTTGATATCATAACAGATGTACTATTACCTTTGCTATTTGGTTTAGTGATCTTCATTGTTACTTTGACTTTCAATATGTCCCTTTAACTTGACCTAAGTCTATTTCCTCACCCCTTAACTTTTTGTCATATATATGCTGAGATTTTGTAAATTCTGGTTTAATAATACTTTGATAAATCTATTGGCAGCATTAAATAGCGAAACATCAGTAAAAACAACAATATCGCTTTGTCTTTCTTTCATTGGGAAATACAAAAACCTTTATTATAATGAAAAGAAAGCTTAATCAATAAAACAAAAGAAACTTACCAGAAATGAGTAGACCAGTTTGACACATACGATGTATATTAAATTGCCATAGAAAATTCAAATAACATCCAGTGAATGATATGAAAAAGGCCAAAAAGAATAGAAAACAACATGAAATCACTAACAGGATCATACTAAATCTCCAAGCTGTATGCGGTATATCAAAAAATGGATAATAACCACAATTCGTTTGTATGCTAATCAGTGAAGATTCAATAAATGCATGTTTAAAATCAATTCTTTGTGTTGGCGGTTGATTTAAAAAGATCGCCGCCTTTTCTGGATTTTCAGATAAAATATCAGTTACTAATCCTGTATATACTGGATAAACACATCGACGGAATAAATTCAGTGTACTTGGTAAATCTTGGTAAGCAGGATATCGAAGAGAATCTGTTTCTTCAGGGTGTATTTCTTGATCGGGATAAATTCGTCCATCCAACCAATAGGGTAACAGGAATCCGACTGTACACAATATGGCTGCTGTCCATGTTAAGATACACCATATTAACCAGATATAACGCATTATCATAGTGTTCCACTGATCCGTTTACAACTGTGATTTGATCTAGTTATCCATTAAACTAAAATATATTGTTGAAATTAATCCTTTTGACCATGATTTTGGTTTGTTTTTTTGATTGACCAATGCCTGTGCTGCTGAAAATCGATAGACGTTTGTTTCTTTTCTTTTCATGAATGAATAAAACCAAAAAAATTAACTTAAAGTCTAACCACTTTTACTACACTTTTTCGCCTGGTTGATTGATGCAAAATTAACTTGTGTTTTATTGTCTTAGTGTAAATCTTTGTAGGCGAATAGTATGTGTGTATGTGTGTGTGTTTGGCTGAAATCTGTTCAGCCAATCAGATTACAAGTTAATTTTGTTTTGTTGTGTGTTAATTTATTTGGCGTATGAATTAAAGTTGATTAATAATAACCAATCAAAATGTATCTTTGAATCAGAAGCCAAAATTATCTGATTAGAAGTTATACAACATCAGTAGTATGTTGTTTTTTTAGATGTAAATTAAGTAGGTTGAATCTGAACACCAAGCTAACACCCAAACCAACTTCAAAGTCATCTACAGAATACGTGAGAATCTCGCTAATAGAATATGTTTCAATTCCCTCACCGGATATAACTTCTTAAAAACGATAGAATATGAATCAAACCTCTTTAAATACGATAAGCAATGGCAATTGACATGTTAAGTCCTGAGCTCTGCATACAAAAGAAGTTTGTTCAGTCACATTAAATTTACAATGGACCTGATATGTCTTCACAATGGGTACGTCATTTTTGTCCCTCAACCTCTACTAAATTTCTACTCCTTATTATTACTGTTGTTAACTTGACTCTCGTTCGAATTTTAGTGGAATTCTACCCAATCCCGTCGATTATGTTACGTCGGTGAACTTACTTATTTTATTTTAGTTTTTATCCGATAAACACCTTCTACATTACGTTATTTGTCACCAAAAATTTACAATGCTAAGTACATATTTAATTGGTGGATGGTGACTAGCAGTGGAATCCAAGATAACGCGCGTTTCATTCTATTTGGGGCTCGTCATCTGGATGTACCTGCATTTCCCAGTGAGTGATGATGTTCCCACTGAGGCTCGAACCCACAGCCCAGCCTAGGCTGGGACTCATCGGCAGGTAGATACCCACTGGAGTTAGAACTCAGGACCTTCCGGTTACAAGGTAAGCTGGCTCGTATACCATTCAGCCACTGGGACCCGATTCAATGGCCAGTCCATGAATTATAACTTCTACCAATTCGTGATTTAGCGCGACGACCAACCAGTGTTATCGGTGGGAAATCCATCCTCACACTTGACTGGTTGTATCTCACTGGTTAGAATTGATGGGCTATTAAGTCGAGTCCGAGTGGCTGAATGGTATACGAATCAGCTTGCCTTGTAACGGGAACATCCTGGGTTCAAACCTTGGCGGTAGGTGCGTACTGCCGATGATTCCCAAACTGGGACGAAACAGCTGTCCAGTACTCCAGTGCTAGTTTTCAGAGGTTCTCGAACTGATATCAATCCGTGGTTAAACTCATAAAAACAACTTTAAACCTTACAAACCAACTCTTGAAAATTAATCTTTTATTGTAATAATCCTCTTTGTGGTGGTGTGTTGACATTGACAATGTGTTGTTTGACGATATGAATTCGTTTGAGTGGATGTAGGTGATTCTGACCAGTGACTGTCTGTGTGAAGAGAAGCGTTGATGTGTGTGTGATTCTTGTGAACAAATGTTGTGATTAATCCCACCTCATTCGTTCAGAATATTCTCCACCCTCTTCTCCTCCTCGATTCTAAGGTACCTTTTCCAGTAGTTGAACTTTGGTTAACTAGTTTTGTCTTACAGTACTTGTTTTGTATTTGGAAACTTACATTAGCTGCCTGTATATATCAACTGCCTGACGGCACTGTTGAGGTGAATTTGAGTTTTGATGTTATTTTTGTCATTGTCGGATAGAATCGCTAAAATATTGAATAATAGTCATCTTTTCCCCACACTCGAAACGTTTCGTGGTAGTGCGTGCCTCAAATGAAGTTTTGTCTGTTATAATACAGTTGAAGGTAGAGATCGCTTTCATGCGTTCAGATCGCATAACCGAATAAATTTAGTCATTACAGTTTAATCTGGCTGATAGAGCATATGGTACTGTAGTACACTAACACAAAATTGTTAGGTTACAGGATTTCATCATGAGCTGACATTGGTTAGAGGACCACTGGAAAACCTAGGAGTACTAGACAGTTGTTTCGTCCTAGTTTGGGGCTCTTCACAGTACACACCCACCGAGGCCTGAAACCAGGACTTTCTGGTTACAAGGCGAGCTAGCTAGCAGACCATTAAGCCACTTGGACCCAATGCAGTGGCCAGCCCATGAATTCTAGCTTCCGCCAGCCAATTCATGACACATCGCTAACACTTAGCAATGTCTTCGATGAGTAACCGTCCTCACACCCGACCTGCTGTACCCTACTGGTCACAACTTCCAGATAGAACCCCAGGAAACTGCCTACCTGAATAGGGCTAGTCGCCAGTGAACATCTCATTGATATTCAAGTATTGGTTTGTAGGGATTTGACTGATTGGTTACAGGATTTCATCATGAGCTGACATTGGTTAGAGAACCATTGGAAAACCTGGAACCAAAAGGTCCTGGGTTTGAACTCCGGTGGGTGCGTTCGGTTGAAGAATCTCAAATTAGGACGAAACAGCTGTCCAGTACTCCCAGGTTTTCCAATGGTTCTGTAACCAATGTCAGCTCATGATGAAATCCTGTAACCAATCAACCAAATCCTTACAAACCAATACTTGAATACAGAATTTTTAGTTACTTGTTTAATGAAACTGTAAATGTGGTCTTTCTCGCTTTTTTGTTGTTGTTATTTTGGTATTATTTAGGTTACACACAGTTGAAAGTAATCCACAAAATAATCAACGAAAAAAAATGAATGACCCCTTATTATCCATCCTTGTACACATATGCTGTTTTTGTTTATTTTCCAGATTTCTGAAAGGGAATAAATTATTTTGAAGAAATACAATGAACAACCTTCATCATATTTATTTAATAGTTGTTCTAATCATCTCTGTTAGATTAGTGTTGAAAAATACAAACAAACATCTTGATTTCAATTATGCATGAACTGGATAATGGATACCAATAAAAAAAGTGACTATTTGAAGTAAACAAAGACACTAACTGTCCAGAATCTCTTGACTTTTACTGCTTGATCCGCATTTTTGATTTAATTGTTTGTTCACTGGCTGAGTTGGTTGTCCCCCTTCAGTTCAGGTATTAGTGTGGAATGAAATTATTGGAATTAATAAACAGAAGACCAGTAGTTCAGCGAAGAGTCTCTTTTCCTATGGATGAACCTTTCAAAAGTTCCGTCAGCTCTCCTTGTAAGTTCAACATCAAGAAAAACAAAAAAACATCAAGAATAACTTTCTTTGCGGCAACATTGAGAGTAGTGTTCTCCAGTCGCCTACTGATCTGCAGAAGCCCAAAGGATAAGATCTCGCACCTGACCACTTCTATGTGTATATATGAGTTCACCTGTTGCTGTGGAGTCAGGTACATCGGTCGTTCAACACGCATCCTGTCAAAAAGGGTCAAAGAACACTATCCGGCGTGGCTGCAGAAAGGAAGAAGTAGCCGTATAAGGAGTGCAATAATCGAACATCTCATAAACACTGGTCATTCCATCTCAACAAATGCCTCCTGCTTCATAGTGATCTACAAAGTGAAGAACAACCTGCCAAAGACAATACGTTTCTGTCTTCTTTGCATTGCAGAAGCCCTAGCCATTCAGTTAGAAGAACCATAACTGTGCATATAAAAGAAAATTATTCAACCACTTCTACTAGCATAGTAACAACTCTGTTGATATGACTTAACGTTTGCTAGTATGCTTGCTTTTTCAAACTACTTAAAACTCTTGCGTAATTCCGTGTGTTATTTTGTTTCCATGTACACCCTGAGCACAATTCTTTCATCAAGCTATTCACGTTATTACGTAACTCTTCTTTGACAGTCGTTTGTGACATCTCATCACTTTTGTTACTACCCTCTTATATCAACATTCAATTCATCTGAACTTACTAGTTGTATTTTCGTTTGACAAATTTAATGTACACATACATACAAAACAACCATATATATATATATATTTGCGATTGTGCAGCTATGAAAATGAATTCGCCTTCGAAAAGAGACTCTTCGCTGAACTACTGGTCTTCTGTCTATTAATGTTCGAATTGGAATCTTTCATGAATTATTGGAATTCTCCATGAACGGTCATATAATTTTATCTTGTTAGTGACAACCACTGTGCAACGGTGGTTCAGTGGTAGAGTGATGGCCCGGAGTTCAAGTCCCTGCTGGGGCACTCCTTTACCTTCCTGACAAAGAGCGGAGGTTGGGAGTGGGTCTAGCAACTGCAACCCATGAAAAACACCACTGCTACCGAAAGCTACTTCAAAGCTCAGAGCTTGAAGCCCTATGCTCCACTGGAAATGCAAACGAAAAGCAAAGTGACTAACATTGTCGTGATTCACTGTTAATTTACGTTTCTATCATTCTTTTTTATTGACTTGGGATTTGAACTTTCTTGTCATGTGATTAAAGGTGACAATATTAAGGCAACTTGAACAAAGCAAGAATAACAAGATAATATGAGCTCATCTTTTATTATTTCGAGAATTCTTCTCAACTGGTTACAACCTGAACGATAAAAAAATATGAATTACATTAAAGATTTGAACATACTTTTCCACGATCACAAGCAGTAATTGGTAGGAAGTGAAAGTAACATTAGTCCGGAATGATTTAACCAATAAAGAGTTACAAACACTGACTATTTATAGAATAATTAGACAATTAGGCTTGGAAACAAAAACAGAGTTGCGTAGAAACAATGTTTGTCTAGAAAGAGCATAACAAACAAAAGTAGATTACGCAACTAAAGAAAATGTTTTATTTAATAGCCAATAGAAAAAAAGAAAAAGAACAAGGTAGGGCGAGTCATGTTTAGATGAGAGAGTAGAGTTTCCAAACAAGAAAAAGGGTGACTCATAAAAGTTGTATATTTTTTTTATCACCGGGGCAGTGCAAGATTCACCACTGTCTCTTTCTGCATACATAGATTTGGTTTAAGTCGTTTGATAGCAATTGCTTCAGCAAAGCGTAGCAAGCTAGGTTTCTTTTGCTTGTTGATTATTTTGAACGACTTCAGGTTGT